TCCTCACCCTTATTATGTTGCTGTGCCCGAAAATGTGCACCTGGGTCTTGTCCCCCTCCCCGCCCCCCACCGTGTGCATGGACACCCCTTTTTGTACGTGTGTGCGCGCGCGTGTGTGTAGGCTTTCAGGAAAGAATTTGCAGCAAATTGAATCAAGGAGCCATCATGAGGCCGACTCCTTTATAGCCTATTTTTAGCAGAGGCGAAGGCGCTGCGCGGTGCACGGGGTTTTGTGGGAGCGCAGGCGGCGATGGGAGCGCCCCCTCCCCGGGCCCCGCGCGGCCCCCGGCGCCCCCGGCCGGCGAGCCGGTGCGGGTGGCTGTTGGGACTGCGGGGCCGGGCGGGGGCGCCGGGGGGAGGGGCGCGCCGGCCGCGGGGCCGCGCTCCGGGACGGGTTGGTTGGGAACTTCAGGCTTTTTAGCCTCGTCAGGAGGCATTTGATGGAGCCTCTTTGAAGTTGGGTTCCGAAGTGTAGAATTGGCAAAGTTCTTGCAAGCTTCCTGGTAAGTTTTTTTTTTGGGGGTGGCACAGAGTCACCTTATTTTCTGACCGTGTAACAGGCCACGTTGTGAGAGGGTGGTTTCTGGGTAACTTCCTCTTTGCAACCAATGTCATTTTTGTGAGCCTGAGTCTCGTTTTATGGAGGTGTGGAGTCTTAAGCCTGGGTGGCTGCTAGGCGGGGGAAGGCAGACATGTGTTAACATGTTCAGTATTTGGGGAAGTTCCTCATGTGCTGAAATCGACAGCACGTTGCAGTGGCAACCGAGATCATGGTGGGGAAAATGGTGTGTTTCTTGTAAAATTTGGGTTGTAAGGGCTTTCGCGAAAAACAACAAAAAACTCCCTTTTGTGAGGTTACCTGTGCTATAGATTAATTTGGTGATTTCAAGTGGGAAATGCTGGATCCTAGTTAAAAGTTACATTTTCGCTGTGTCCTCAGTTTACTTAAAACCTTGCACCAGACAGAGCCATCCCATACCTGCATTCGTGCCGGTGTCATTTGCAGTTGCCTTAGAGACGTTTGCTGCTGGCTGGCTTGTTTTCCAAACAGGAACTTTATGCTAATCTAAACGAGCTTGTTAATAAAATATGGTGAGTGAAATGATGGGTTATTTTTAGTCTGAATGGTTTATCTCCCCTTCTCCTCCAGCTATATAATTAAGTAATCATCATCCCCCCCCTTTTTCCTAAAGACTCCACCAGATTGGATAATATTAGGCCCTTGTGGTGTTTTCAGCAACTTACCTAAAACAGCAATATAAACCCTGGTTGCACATGGAAGATACAGTGCGGGACTTGTTGGGTTTCCCAGTGTGATTTCATTTTCATTTTTAAGTAAAACCCATGCTACAAGTAAGGGGTATATTTTCCGTAATCCTGAATTTCTTGGGACTGTGTTCTCACCATTTTAGTAAGGTTAGAGTCTAGGGAAGTAGGGCAGCTTTGTCTCCATGCACACGAAGTTTATGTTGGATTTCATCATGGGAGTTTATGGCCGGCCTCCTGAGTGATCATTGAGTTCTAGAAATACTTAGCTCAGACCGGTGGGGGAGGGGCGGCAGAAAGGAAGCGTGGCGGAGAACGGGGAGGCATGTGATTGATACACGTTGATACTTTCTGCTCCTAAATCATGGCTCTTCTACTTTTTTGAAATGTGCTCTTTCTCCTTTTTACTGTCCCTGCTACCCTGTACCATCTGATGGATATAATAACTGCCATTAAATTCACAAATGACTACAGTTTCTTGTTCCTTTTTATTGTCATCAACAGTAGTTAGAAACAGGAATGTAATCAGCAAAATACTTATATGGTGTGTGTGTGTGTGTGAAACACGTGCAGGGAAAAGTTTTACTTACTGTTAAAGAAACTGTGTAAATTGTTAGTGGCTTCAAAGAGTGCAAAGGTCCCATCTATTCAAAAGGTATTTCTCTTCTGACCCAGACCCTTTTTGGTTGTTAATACGGGAGGTCAATGGAGCGGCCCCTTGTGGAGATTGTATTTTTGCCACGTTTGCTCCAAATAAGTGCTAGACATTTAAATAACTTTTTAGTTTTGCCCAGAAGTCTTTCTGGTACTCTCTTCCTCCACACCTAATTCAAGTTTTTTGCAAGATTGGTGTAATGCATGCCTCGGAAGAGCAAGAAATAACTGTTTCATGTGTACTTGGAGGCTTTCCTGTACTGTGTATGAAAAAGGCCAGGAGCTTAGTTGCAACACAGAGGTTACTGATAAAAGATGTGATTAATGGACCTTTTGAAAGACAACCTGTTGAATAATTACATCTGCTCACATATAGCAGTGCAACACAAGTACAGCTCTTTCAGTTGAGTAAGTAACTGACTAAGACAAGCCCCCTTCTATAATTGATTACAGTAATATTACTACAAAAGAGTTCTGAGTCTGCATGCTTTGTTCTAGTGGAAGTGATTTGTTGAGTTTGTTCATATTTAGTGTTTTGGTGTTTGTTCTGAAGTGCCAGTGAATTTGACTGATGTCACAAGTAACGTTTACAGTTTTATGTCCCTGAATGCAGAAGAGGAAAGCAGTTACCATGTGCTATTTATACTTTTTACACACAAACATTCCCAAGTACAAGGGCTAGATCTTTAGACTTGTGTGCTAAAGAACTGGTAAGCTATCCAGTTTTGTAGTTTATTGTGTTGGGATCTGTCTCTTGCTGAAACACCAACAGAAACGTGAAGTTTAACAAGCAAAAAGGACAACTGTGTGTGAGCTGAGCTGGAGAGGTTTGACTACTCCCTGCCCCTGGATCCTTGCCATTAATTAATTGCCTGGTGACCATAGAGCACTGTGTAAAGGGGCGGTGGAGCCATTCACAGCTCAGGCCAACCAAGTGAGGTGGGTAGTATAGGAAGTGCTGGCCTCTTTGATCAGTGATGAAACTGAGAGGTGCAGGGAAGCTAGTTCACAGCATTTGTTCAGGGCCACAAAACAAATGATGCACTTTGACTTAAACCTAGGTCTTTCTGACCCCAGATCTCATGGTTTCTCTAGATAACTTGGCCAGATTTCTCCAGCTCTTTTCTTAGCCTTAGTTGTAGTTATGCTTTCGAAAACTCAACATTTCTGATCAAGCTTAACATTTTATAACCGGACATGCCTACTAACTGGACCAAGTGATTATATGATAAATGAGATTCATAGGACTCCCATCATCATTGTGCTTATTAATCCTGGGAATGATTTCATAAGATGATACCTTTTTGCTATTTGCCATATGATCGACAGGGTTCGCGAAGTAGCCTCTGGAAATATTACCAGTAGAAATCAGAAAATTGGATAGTCTCTTCTAGGGCAGGAAGTATGTGTCCCCTGCCTACATTTAAGAAAGAGGAGCAAATAGCTGTTCTCAGAGCATCCAATCCTGACAGAGATGCACTCAAGAACCACCAAGTGGTACCTCCTGGTAAGTGGTCGGTCGTGTAGTGGTTTGAGCAAGGAGCCTGGTGGCGAACTGCTTGGGCTCAAACTCTGACTGCACTCTTTACCCGCTCTGGCACCCTGGAAAAGTAACTTTTGTGCTTCACTGTCCTCATCTGTAAATGGGCTAATCAGCGTTGTAGGTTGTGAAGAATTTCAGAACTAAGGTTCTAAGCACCTTCGGGTGTGGGAGGAGCTTAGAACAAAGTCTGACCATGTAGGCACTGAGCTGTTTACTGAGCGGATGGGTGTCAGTGTTCGTTCGCTTCTTTGTGTACAGCCTTCACTTGTTACTAACTTCTGTTGTTACTGTTCGGGCGCCATCAAGTGGGCGCCAGCTCATAGTGACCACATGTATGTTCAACAGAAAGAAAGCCTACCCCCGCCCTGGGCCTCACAACCCGTGGTGGCTGACTGCAGTGACAACATTGCCTTGAGCCGCTTCCTCTTTTTCACTGACCCGCTAAGCAGGATGTCTTCTTCTTTTTTTTTTAAATCAGTTTACTGGGGGCTCGCACAACTCTTATCACAATCCATCTGTCCATCCATTGTGCCAAGCACATTTGTACATTTGTTGCCCTCATCATTCTCAAAACATTTGCTTTCTACCTGAGCCCTTGGTATTAGCTCCTCATTTTCTCCCCTCCCTGCCCGCTGCCCCCTCCCTCATGAACCCTTGATAAGTTATAAATTATTATTTTGTCATGTCTTACACCATCCGACGTCTCCCTTCACCCACTTTTCTGTTGTCCATGGGGGGGGGCGGGCAGTGTTATATATAGATTCTTGTAATCCATTCCCCCTTTCTACCCCACCTTCCTTCCATCCTCCCGGTATGGCCATTCTCACCTGTGGTCCTGAGGGGTTCATCTCTCCTGGTTTCCCTGTGTTTCCAGCTCTGATCTGTACCAGTGTACCTACTCTGGTCTAGCCGGATTTGTAAGGTGGAATTGGGATCATGATAGTGGGGGGAGGGAGCATCTAGAACCAGAGGAAAGTTGGATGTTTCATTGCTGCTACAGTGCACCCTGACTGGCTCGTCTTCTCCCTATGACCCTTCCCTGAGGGGATGTCCAGTTGCCGATAGATGGGCTTTGGGTCTCCTCTCTGCACTCCCCCTCATTCACAAACGTGATGTCCTTTTTCAGGGACTGGTCTGTCCTGATAACATTCTGAACAGTGGTTCTCAACCTTGCTAATGCCGCGACCCTTTAATGCAGTTCCTCATGTTATAGTGACCCCCCCAACCATGAAATTATTTTCATTGCTACTTCATCACTTTAACTTTGCTACGGTTATGAATCGGGCTATCCCTGTGAAAGGATCATTCAACCCCCAAAGGGGTCTACTTCTGAAGAGTTCACAGCTATGGAAAACTCTCTGGAAGCATCATTCTGCGAGTTTTAATCCACTGGATGGCAAGTGGCTTTTGTAGTTTTGCTTTTAAATTGTTTTATGTAAATGAGATCACGCAGTGGTCTCCCTTTTGTAGTTGGGTTGTCTTACTGACCTTAAGGTTTTCGTTTCATTGCAGTGTTACAGCATGGCAGCCATAGGGTTGCTGAGTTTTCAGAAATAGACGGTCAGTCCTTTCTTCTTGGTTTTTGTTTTAACGCCATAGAAAAAAGTAGCTTCGTTTTCTGAGCTCCTGGAAGATTGTAAAGGTCTTTTAAAAAATAAAAGTTGAAATAAAGTGTCTTTATTTAATCAGGAGGCTTTGATTTTCGGCTTTCCTGTACCAAGGACTAGATTGAATTGTAACACTTCAGTGGGAACAGTTTGGTGCAGCTTCCTATGTCAGTTGCGTGCCTTTGTTGGTTCTCTGCCTCTCTTGGTCTGTTAAAACTATTCACAGTGCATGTGTTTGAAATATTTTCCACATTCTTTATCAAGAAGGAGAGATCTAGGATCTGGCCACCTTGGACTTTGGGCTGGTTCACCACCTCAGCAGAGTCTTTCCCTAGCCTAGAACCTACCTTCCTGTTCCATCTTTTCAGCTGTTACCAGAAAGTTCCATTTGGATTTCTGTTTCCTCTGAAAATCTGTGGACCTTGTCTTTTAT